CACTTACACGCTAAGTCAAAGACTTAGTGAGGCATATAAACATATAAGGTAAACGGTAACTAATAATCATACCTAAACAATTACTACTATCATTTCATACCACTCATACTTTTACATGTAACAAATATATGCATACATATATGTCATTATCATTCATATCTCTTATCTCATGTTCCTATGATCTCTTATGTCCATATCATATAACATATACCATAACCCATTTGCACATATACATATCATGTCATGTACACTATATATATATACTATCATAAAACACGTATACCCAAGCAATTATATTATCATCTTCATTTCTTTCTTATTTTTTTTTCACTATCATTGATTCCTTTCATCATATGGTCTTATAAGTTACCATTTGTACAATCAATATCACACGTGAAATTCCACAAGGAAACAAACATATTATCCTATCACTTTATTAATATTATCTATTTAATAGCCCATGATACTCATGTGAGAACTAAAGATATGCAAGTACATAGAGGTTGTGCACTAATGTTGTCACCACAACTCATATAATTGCACCGAAGTGCCACATATAATTGCACCGGAGTGCCGCGTCGAATTGCACCGTAGTGCCGCGTAGAATTACACCGTAGTGCCATATAATAATGTCCATAAGGACCACATATCATTCCTTAAATACATATACTAGGGATCAAGTATGTGTCTCACCAGACTTTACACATGTTCCAAAGAATACATATATGTCCCGAAGGACCACATATCATTCCTTAAGAATCATATACATATACTAGGGATCAAGTATGTGTCTCACCAGACTTCACACATGTTCCAAAGAATATATATATGTCCCGAAGGACCACATATCATTCCTTAAGAATCATATACATATGCCAAGGATCAAGTAGTTGTCTCACCAGACTTCACACATGTTCCAAAGAATACATATATGTCCCGAAGGACCACATAGACCCTCGACTCTTGGCATGCCAACTATACCCCTAGCTCTCATGACACATAACATGGGAATTATCTTTTATATCCTTTTACATATTCATGTAACTATATCATATATTCATATAAGCTCATGGTTTCATTCACATATACATGTAATCACGTAGTTCATGTCAATTCTCATATGAGTTCATATTCATATAAACATAGGATTCACCCTCATGTATCACATATACTTTCTCTTTCATATGGCTCATAACATTTCTCATGTGTTTATATGACATGTAAATCATTGTCATCTTATCATGTTATCACATAAACATAGCATCTTACAATACAAAACACATCAATACCTATATTCATATACCTATCATTTCATTATCCTTATTATTATTCTTATCATCACCATTAATCCCTTTTACCATTATCCCTTTTACTTACCATATTCATATCAAACACATATACTCATGCACACATATAAATCATAACAAATACATACTTCTATGAATTCATGTTTTTCACTATTGGAATAGACTTATCACAAGTCTATTTTCCCTTGAACCTCATATACTAGAGAATGTGCACTCACCTTAGCTTTGCTTTGATTCGATTAAATCCTTCAATTGATCCGGAATGGGATCAGGTTCTATATCTACATCATCATACATAGATCTATATTAGTATTATAACTAATATACTCTAATGGTTCACTCTTTAGACTAAGAGAAAAGGCAATTTCATCTTTTAATGAAGGTATGCATCGATGTACTACTGATGCATCGGCGCATAAAATGCATTCGATGTTTGTTTATTACTGGGATGCATCGATGCATGCCTTATGCATCGATGCACTAATTGCATTCGATGTATTTATTTTAAAAGAGTGCATCGATGCACTTCCTGTGCATCGATACACCTTCAAACGATTTCTGGGTTTTAACCTTGATGCATCGATGCACTATGAATGTACATCGATGCACTCTGCCCAGAACCTCTTTTTGAACCCGAAAATTCATTCTTTTTGGATTAAATCCTTCATATATCAACCCTTTGATATTCCTAACTTTCATATACATACTTAAAACTCATTAATATTCTTTATCTCATCTTTAACCTCTAAATTCCATCTTTCATATGGAAATTCAAGAATCATACTCAATTCTAACATGTTCCAAATTCCATTCAATTGCTTCTAACTTCTTAATTAGACCCTTGACAAGTCAAATCAACTTTAGAACTTCAAAAACCTTTCTATACAAAAGTTCATTTATAAACCCTTAATAGAAATTCCTTTCTAATTCTCTCTCTTTGGTGTTTTAAACTTATATAAGCTTTCCTTAAGCTTATATAACCCTCAAAGACTCAATTCCAACTTAAAACTTTCAAGAAATCAAAAGCTAAATCAAACTTATCTTTGCTCTTGGCTTCCACGTAAAGAAGAAGAAGAAAGGAGAAGAGAACTCTGGAGAATTCTCTCCCTTTCCACGTATATAATTCCATTTTAATTCATTTCTTGGTCAATTGACCTTTTTGCCCTTTATTTCCTTTAATAATACTAAATAACCTTCATCATATTTATCCAATAATCATTGAACTATTTCATTCTTCTACTTTAGTCATCAAATTCTGAAACTTTACAATTTGATCACTAACCCATAGTTTGGGATGTTACAATTCTAATATATATACTCATGTCGGCCATCGCTATTTTTTACCGTTGTCATCGATCGAACTTTCATCCGACCGAACCTACACCGGTGACATAACCACCCGAAGACGGTCACCGATGAACAAGAATCTTCTTTTCCTCAAAGCTAAAGCTAGTATGAATACTTTATACTATTCCCTCCCGATTGCTTGTTCCAAGGACAACTCAATTCTTTAGTCTTTGTTTTCTCATTACCTCCGGCTAATTTTTTGAAAGAGAGTTTTTTTTCCCTTCCTCTCACTCGACCCTGAAAGTTGAGGGAAGGGGACATGATGGAGGTGAGGTTGAATTTTTTAAAAAAACTATCAAAATACGATATATGTCACTTAATGAGATTTTTTAATATATGTTGCAGTCATGACACTTAAAATATTAACATTTGTAACATTAGTCAATTAGATTAATCAAAAAATAGTGTAGGTATTTAAATGTGAAAAATAATATAATTTGAACATTTATTTTTATATTAAGCCTTAATTAAAATAAATAGATCAAAATTAGGACATAATCCACTATTTGATTGCACTATTTGAATCATAATAATTTTCAAATTTAACTTTTAATGCTAAATATGTTAAAAAATTATATTTAGAATCATAATAATTAGGACATACTCCACTATTTGAATGCCCAAAATGTAGGGATGAACATGAGACATGAACTTGACGGGTTTCAACCCGACCCGACTCAATTGGGTTGGATTTTTTAAAAAAAATTGAGTCCGGGTTGGGTTTTTTTAAATGTGATGTTCGGGTTGGGTCGGATTCGGGTTTATAGTGAAAAATACCTAATCCGACCCGACCTGGAACAAATATAATTTTACCTTATATATTTAGGAATAATTACAATAATACCCCTCTATATATTATTTTTTTCAATTAAGTCAATATTTGTATTGAATAAAAATAATATTTTTTATTATTTCAGATCGGGTCGGGTTCAGATTTTCTCTCAAAAAATTAGGTCGAGTGAAGGATATAAAATTTTCGGGTTGGGTCGGGTTGGCCCAAACCCGACCCATGCCCATCCCTACCAAAATGTAAGATAGGAATACTTGGCAGCAGAGCTGGCACGCTACGGCACTTAAACTGACATAAACAATCACTCAAATCACATTACCCTCCAACTTTTAACAAATAAAATTGAGATTAAGGCAATCCACAGCCAAACTCGATTCCACTGTGACAAAATCACCATCTTTTCCGGGGGAAAGTGATCGGATAGTGCTCCACTACGTCTGCTTCTTCTACAATGCCTTCCTTTTATTCCTATTCCCATTTTTACCGATGCCTTCCGACCACCCTTTTATCTATAGGGTCCTTTGATAGAGAAATCCATTCACTTTTACCAGCTTTGGCAACACAACAGTCGAAATCTTCACGTGTTTAAAGATAACTTTCAAGTACTAATTACATTTGGTTAGTCATTTTCGGATTGTCCTTTTATATGCTGTGGCTGGACATGGAGCAAGAATATTTTTATTTTTTATTTTTTGTGTAACAAAGATATCCACTGTGCTAGCAGTGGGACATGGAGCAAGATTTTATGCACCGCGGTTCATCTCTTGAAAATCCATCCATCCCAACATGGGCAAGATCTTCCAATGAATCCACATCAATGTGGTTTGTTTACGAGCCAGTCAGGGGAAAAGCAAATGATCCATTGAAATCAACCAGCAACGTCAAACAGGAACCTGGCAATGAGCTTGTACACTTGTGCTCTGGAATTTGAATAATGATTACTTCCTTGACATTTTGCATTCGCTTTTCTTCAGAGTAAAACATTGGGCAGTTAATCAATCAAAAGTTGAAACATAAGACAAAAAGGAGTTGAAAGCAGAGGGCAATGAGATTACGAGAAAAAGACATTTTTTTCACGTGGAAGTAATGCCATTACTTGGGGGATAGTTTCGATGGGGCAGACTAAAAATCGGCTAAACTAAGGAGCTATCGATTTTATTATTGTGTTAGATAATAAACCAATAAAAATTACCTTAAACATTATTAGGTGCTATGATTTTGTTATTATTGGGTGTTTTTATTGGATTTTGAAAAAAATACCGGAAACATTATTAGACTTAAAAAATGACCGGATTAACATAATATTTTAGGTAATTACCAGAAAATTTTAGGTAATTTTTACCGATTTTATTATTTAAATGATAACAAAATCGATAACATCTTATTTTAGTCGTTTTTAAGCCTGCCGCGTTGTAGAACTTCCAATTACTTGCTATTATTAAAAAATCCAATAATGAAAGTAAATTATTGTATTCGTTATGGAATATCTTTACAATTTTCACTTGGTCAATCAATCACAGGATTGTACATCACTGATTTTATTTTAACAAATCACTTCTTCGTGTTACCATTATTCTTTCATTCTTCTTCATGGATTCAGCTGGCATAAAGTTTTTCTTTTGCCTCCATAACTACTTGAACCGGGACGACTCGGCGGATAATTCACCCGCCTTTTCTGCCATCTCCACCGTTTTCCAAGCTATTTTACATTACCTAACATCCCCAACGCCTAAACCCATTTTAACTCATTACAAGCAATTTTGAAAAAGTAGAAAACTCAGCCAACTCACTGGTTTCAGTACCGTATAGTTAATTGTTCACTCCAGAAGCCGAGTCAAAAGTCTCGCGTAAGAATTAAAACCATCGCCTTTCTCTTCCGACTATTTCTTTAAACCCGTCAAGTAACGGTCGAGATTCTGTCCACAAATCCAACTTAGTCCTTCCCATGTGATATTTACCTTTAAAGTCTTCCATGTTCACGTGCTTACCGGCGCGACCTGACTCAGAGCGAGATATAAACCGGATCACTTCTTCGAAAACGGACTCGTCGCAGGGAATCGACAACGGGCCTTGGTTACTGAAGCCGTACTCTTCCTCTGCTTGGATAAGGAGTTTCTCAAAGACGGGATGATTCAGGTACGTGGCGCGCACCACGAATCTTCTGCAACTGGCCCCAACGCAAACCGCAACGTGTCCCGCCGGAACATCCGACGGGATTCGGCTGGCAGACATGCGGGACTTGTTCCTCCACCGCCGCAGCATTTGTCGAAGCCTCACAATGTGGCGGATTTTACTGCATCTCCCAAGCCCCGTCGACATCTTCCCGGAAAAATTAACAACTCAGATTGAACCAAAAAAGAAAGAAGAATTAGTCTTTGTTTGTTTGGCCTTTGCTTTAAGAATGTATAGAAATTAGGCCTTCCGCTAGGGAGGGGTTTTATAAAATAAACGAGTGAGAGAGTGCCCTTGAAGTGTGTGATAATTACAAGGCTGTGTCTGCTGTTGTATGTTAATGATTGTTGGTGAAACAATTTAAAATCCCAATTCCCAAATGTCTTTTGGATGACTATATAAGGATTTTCTTCTAATAAAACGTTAATATTTGTAGCATAATAATGGTGAACACAAATATCACAAAAGACGAATTCCATAATTTTGTTCCAATATATTTTGCTTTCGATACATTGAACTCTATAAATGGTCATGTGACAATTACTAATCAAATAGTACTAACTAAAAACCAATGAATAATTGCTTATTTCTTATTTTTTAGCCAATGATTCTGGACAAAAATGAAGATTGATATCTAGTAGAATATTTTCCCAAATATTTGACAATTTATTAATCCTCGTTAACTAAAATTTAAAGAAGTGCGAACAACGCTGCTTCCATTGAAGTAAGCTTCAAGTTGATTCAAATTCCGAAAATGAGTGTAATTTCTAAGAGGTACCGATGTTTTGATGAAGGAAGACAACGTTAAAGATGTTACAGCATGGCACATGCATGCATAATGCATTCATCATGAATATCAATTTGTGCAGTCAGCCGCTTATCGTTCAAGAATAATTCACTTGCTCACGTCTTTACGTAAAACATCAAAAGTAGAAACACCACGAGGGGACATATATAGTTTGCACAGGTTTGTGCTTCTATGACTTTTCATTTAATTTAAGGGACGAAGACAGACAAACCCACCACATGCATAGGTAAATAAATGGGTAAACTACCCTAGAAAGCCATTTGGTTATATAGTTTAAAATAAATAAGTTTTTTAAATAAATTAATTAAGCATATCATTTAATTAAAATGTCATTGCAAACAAGTCACTTTGTCGTTAAAAATGAAATGAACATTTAATATAATTTTGTATAATAATAAATTTAGTTCTCGAAACCTATACACTATCAATTTTAACGTAATTTAAAATAATTTAACCATTTATATTAAAAGTTCTATCAAATTAGTTTTTTTTACTAGCAACCCAACCAAGTCCATCATCAACAATATTTATTGTTAAACTAATATTATTTTATCAAGAAAATAATATAATATTTTTGAGAGAATAAAAAACACTTTATGATAAGAAGAAAACCTAAAATGATAGATTTTTAAATACAATGATTAAATTTAGTTAATTATTTTGAATTAGGATCAAATCATTATACAATATAAATTTTACGGACTAAATATACTATCATATCATGTTACATCACTTTTATCTATTTTTTAAATATAAAAAATTATTTATAATAATATTTTAATTGGTTGATTTATTTGTGACATTTAAGGAAAAATAATTAGTTTATATTAAACACATGATTGAGTGGCCTATAGTGTACTTGACCCTTAAATAAAAGGTGTCCGTCTCTAAAAGTAATTGTTGATTCAATAAACGATGCCTTTTCGTTTCCTAAAACATATAAAAATTGAAAGAAAAAAAATTGGAGCACTCCCCCTAAAAGCAACGATTTTGTTATCTCCACATCTGCCCAATCCACATGTCTCCCCATCTTTCTCCATTCTTTAATTTCCCAAACAAACTGCCAAGACCCTCATCCCATAATCAACTCATTGACCTTAATTAAACTCGCTTAATATTTCTAATCCCCCACATGAATGCTTTTAACGTGACAAAATAAATGAATAGTTTTGACATTTTTCTGCCTAATAAAGAGCTCGTCTATCATGAATATCCCTTGAATGGGTATTGGATTGAAGGGTCCACGTGCATGTTATGGGAGGGTAGGGTGCATCCCCCGAACGTCATATACTGTGTTTGCACTTGTTAATAAACAAATAAGAACCCACTTGCCCATCTTTGAGTTTCGGTACATACATCTTCAACGACATTGCACATACAATATTAACAACAAAAGTTTATTTTTTAAAAATGACTGAGCAAACATATAGCTGTATTAACATCTACGCTGTTAGATACGCATATATCACACAACGTACTAACTATTTTGCCTTTGCTTGTTTTATTGGCCGTTTAATATCATTTTTCCATTTGTTTATATTTGGACAACAAGATGCTGAAAGATTTGGGATTATATAATACTTGTTGAGAATAATTTAAATGTTTTTAAAATATTAACATTTCTATTTCAATAATTATTTAGAATCATCATCAATGTTTTTAAAATGTTAATATATAATTAATAGATTTAATTAAGTTCCATCGTTTTTATATTTTATACCTATCGATAGTCTATATTTTAAATTAAAATGATAAATTAAACCTAAAAAAATAAAGATTATTTAAAATATCCAATGCAAGTAAGGAAATTCTCCCTCCATCTACTCTATAAGGTTGTATCCTTATTGACTTTTATTTGTAATTTTTTAATATTTCATCCATTTCATATTTTTTTTAATGTTATATATGATAACTTGGAAAGAAAAACATTGTCATAATAAATCATTTTAGTACTTAAACAATACTTTTTACTTTTGCTAATACTTATTTCAACAAACGATTTGTTTGCTTATGCTTTCCAACTTGGAAGCATATGGTTAGGCATATCATTATTACTTTATTAGTACACCATTACATTAAAAGTAAAAATGTGCGACCCACAGAACAAGACATTGCAGATGAAGTTCCGGTAATATGTACAATCAGCTAAAGGTGAACCCCCCCCCCCCCCGGATATTATCTCTTACCTATTTAGCAGAGATAACCTTTGTAACCTGTTGCCCTTTCTTTAGCAAAGATGAATTTTGTTGCATCTTTTCCAGACCTCAAAACTTGGAGTTGTTTATATGTAGTTAAATTCTCAAAACTAATCCTCGTTAGTGTAAAGGACCACAGATTCCAGTGATCTTCAAATAGTGTTAATAAATTCAGATATTCACATGGGTTGGGTCAATCCATGAAATTAAGACAACTATAATAAACCTCATAATGCAACTGAAGATACAGCCCAAAGGAAATAGCCCAAAGATATTCATATGGTTTTCTCCCTTTTAGAGTTTCTTCGGCGAATAATGGAATTTGCTAAAATGGCTTCAAATAATGATAATGTGTCCAAATTAAACAAATTACTAAAAGAAAATTTTGCACTTCAGACATGGGATTATAGTAAGTCTTATCTTACTTGCAGTGCTAAATCCTCATCTTCCACAATATTTATTGTTCCACGTCATTAGTTTTTAATGACGTTAAATCCTTGAAAAAAAAAATAAAGTATTTCTACTAAGTTTAAAAAATGGCAGAATCAATTGCATTTCTCTTTAAAAATATTTTCTGAGTAATGCCTCGTTACATCAATTAACATTCAGAATAAGTTTCCTTTAAAAAGAAAAAGAAAAGTAAGACAAGGCGAATTTATAAAATTATAGGAGTGGATAATTATAAAATTTTAAAGAATTAAAAAATTTAAAATATATGATAATTTTAAATTTTCAAGAAATTACTGATTTCAACTACTTGGCCCTTACCGGTCCATTTCTGAACGTGACAACGGGTCAAATATCATGCGCAATAAATTACTACCGAAACAAAACTTGAAGGTTGAAGCAATGTCTTTTTTATTTATTTACGATTATTTTCTTTGTATAATTATAATAACAATAATATTTTGATGAATTCATTAATATAATAAATTCAAAGATTATTCTTGACACACTGCTTTTATATTGAGTGTAGTTAAATACGTAGTTTTAGAGTGTTCAAGATTTGATAAAACTTAGCGTTGCTGTTTTTTTTTTTATTTAAACGTATTCCCTCCTCCGTACGCCGTGTACTGTTTTCTCGTTGCGTTAGTCAAGGTCTGCTTTTCCGACATCTTTTTATTAATTTGCATATATTGGCCTGAATTCAAAGCCGCGAAGGAATCGCCTAAATAACAGTAAGTGAGTGCGTAGGATAAGAGCAAGCGTTGTCTTCCCAGTTACAAGCAACTTTCTCATTCATTCATTTTTTGTAGGATACAAAAGAGTGGATAAAGATCCAATTTTTACAGGGGTTTCCACTTTATTATTTTCTTGTGAGGATTGTTATTTTTGATGAATGAGTCTTTCGAAAGAGAGAGAAGCTAGACAAATGCTTTGGTCGTCGTGCTTGATGCTGCTACCGAAGGGCAGGTGTTTGCCCTTTTCTTCGTTACACCAAAAAGTTGCACGTACGAAAATATCTTTCTTTCCAGTATTGTGTCTTTGCAGTTTTTTGACTTTTTGTTTTTTGATTTTGAACTCTGCTTCTGCTTCTGTTGCTGCTGGGGTGGGTGGTGATGTTAAGGGAGGGGACGGGAAAGAGGTTAAAAGTCTAAAAGGTTACCTTTTCTAACCAATTGGTATTGGTTTGTTCTTGTTTAGTGTTTCAAGAGACCCCATTTCTCCATTGATAGTTCGCTGAGAGGAGACTCTGTGGAGCAATGGGATTGGATGTTTTTCTTATCGTGTTGGAAGTTAAGGTTCTTACAGCTGAAGATGTAAATATGGAGTCTTTGCTTTGTGTATTGTAAAAGAGTGCAAAAAAGAAGTCTTTTAGTAAGACAACACACCACATAATGGGTTCCGTTGTTGAAGAGAAGATCAAAGCAGGAGTCTTGGTTAATGGATGGACAGAGGCCACTTTGCTTGAGCAGATGAAGTTATTGAAAGAGATGCAACATCAATCTGGTTTGTTTTTCTTCATCAAAACCCCGACTCATTTCTTTTTTCCATTGTTTAGTTATTGTATTTATGTCCTTTGCTCATGTGTTAAAAGACGAGACAGTTGGCTTTTAAACTATAGTTTATACGGGCATATGCTAGGTTCAAGCATGGTTCTTTTTAACACATTGACTTTCTATCTTCAGAATAAAACAAGGATGTTAAGTCGTTAGATGGCCTTAATAGAGACCCATTTAAGGCTTCAACATTATACCGTGTG